AGAGAGGTTGGAGGAGGTGGCGCGGCCGCGTGTAGCTCCAGCGCGTTAAGCACCGCTTGGCTTGGTTTAATTTTCCTGATGTAGGTAGGCGATGGTGGGTCCGACCGCCTCGTTCACCCCTGGGTCACCCCCGCCGTATCACCCCATTGGTACCCTTCCTCTCTCCTCCTTCCTCTCTCTCTTTCTCTTTCTCTGAGCTGGTGCTACTGCCTAGCTGTTAAGCGCTACTGGTTGCTCCGGTCAGACAGAGACAGAGGATAGTCGGGCGAGCAAAAGACTGACAGAGGGAAAAAGGGAGAGAGTGAACGAGCAGAAGGAAGACGGATCGAGTGGACGTGGTAGTTAGCGGGAGAGAGACGAGAGATGGTACCAGTGCTCTCCGCACCTCCACCGTCAATGTTTGACGTCGGTAGCCGTAGCTCTGGACCGCCTCGAGATGAATCCATCACGTTAAACAATGTAAATGTTAGCCCGTCTCAGCATAAAACTAATAACCATTGCTCTCTCCCTCGTCCTATGGGCATGGCCTCCAGCCGCGGTTCGTCGGATCCTCGTTCACCTCTGCCTTTGCTTGTTCCTATTCCTACTTCTCCTCGTCCGTCTCTCCGGATCTTTCTCCATCTCTTTTGCCTGATCTTCTTTCTCTTCTCTTTCCGTTTCAAACCGCTCGCCTCCGACCTCGGCTACGTGGCCTCATTAAAAAGTCGGCACCCGCCGCGCGGACGTCTCTGGTTAGAGTTACGCATTGTTGGGAGTAACGATGGTACCCGACCGCTATTCTTTCGTTATTCCCCGACCAATGAATTCTTGCGCCCTGTTCGGTCGGTTGATGCGTTGTTGGTACGGTTGCAACATCGAACTCCGACGCGCTGTATTGGAGAGGCAACGGGGTTTTCTGTTAATCGTTCGATTATCGTTAACCGTGGAAACGTTTGGCGAACCGAGTGCTGCGTAAGTAGATATTGTAGGTGATTTAGATAGTGCAGATAAGGTTTAGGTGATTAGAAACCTCGGTAACGAGCGTCGAAAAATTACTTTTTCTAATAAACATGACGGTGCACATCTTTTCGAGGAGGTAATTGAGGAGAGAAGTTTAGTTTTGCGTTTCGATGACATCGGGCAACGTGTCAATACGTTTTGATAACGGCACACTGTTCCACGCTGCGCCGGCTTCAGCGAATGAATGCCATTTGCGTTGCTTCGCTTTCAGTATGCGATGGTAGAACAATTCTTAGAAACCGCACTCGAATCTGACGACACTCGATGGATTGCGGATTTCAGTGAAGACGAGCAGATTGGGGGACCAGTGAACGGAGTACGGAGGACCCTCCAGCAGACAGAGGACTCCGACCCCAGTTCCGTCTTCGACAGCGTCTTTATGTCCATGTCTGACACTCTCAACTCGATAAATACCCTCGAAAGTTCCGATCATACTCCCGACGACAAACCACAAAACACAACTACCAACAGAATCTCATTAGCACAACGCGACACCACACGGTAAAGGCATACAGACATTTCGCAATACCAGGGTAACGCTTTCGATTTATGTGCGCTGGAACTATCCCACCGGATTACGTGACAAATCCGGGCTTCTAACATACGGTACATTCAATTTCTAGCATTGTCGTAAACTATTGACAATGAATTGTACGTTCTAATTTTATTATTACGAATGAAAGGAAGTATATTAGTAAACTGTATAGAGTATCGCGATCTATTTTTACTCAAACATTTCATTATAGCAATTTCTCACTAAATTCCTCCATTTCATTAGTATCATTTAGTTTCATAAATAATTTATTTACTATTGTAGTTAATCTTTAATTATCACAGCCAATCATGACACATTAGAATACATAATATTACGTTTCAATATTTTCAATCCACATAGTGTATCTCGAAAGCGGTACCATTTATTGATTACACACATTATCGTAAGCAAAGAGAAGTAAAAAGAAAAAAAAAAGAAATACTGGGTCAGGCGAGCCATTAACGAGTTAATCGTGAATTGGCCCCGTTGAGACGTTTAGTTTCGTTGCGCAGGGGTTCCGACAGCGGATTGTACCAAACGCCACCGGTACCTCGAGGAACAATGGAGGGTAGCTTCGTGTCGGAGGATCTGTCCTTGACATTACCCACGGGATATGGGGGTGGCAGGGAGTCGGACCAATTGAGCGTTTCCTCGTCCTCGAGCGTCGGTGGACCGAGCCCACGGGACCGGCGTTGTTTGCCCAACGATTCCAGCGCCGCCGGGATTTACTTGCCAATGGCACCCTTGTCCAGTTCTCTCCACAGCCCCGCCTCTAACAATAAAGTCTCGGTAAGAACGAGTTCCCTTTACTTTTCGATCCGATCGGGGGTTGCACGAGGTCACCGGGTACAATTGCACGAAGGGACATATTTTTTTCAACGTCCCTCTGGTGACCCATTCGTCGACATTCCGTTACGTTCACATTTTAGATAAGAGTTCATTGATTGTACTTTTCGTGACACGATTAATCCTTTCGTGTCTAAAGCGTCCTTTGAACCATGATTTATCTGAACTCATTGCGACACGGAAGATACATTTATTTTGAAGTATAGGCTGAAGAATATGACGTTAAATTATGATTGATTTTTTTCAGAATTTCACTTATTGGTAAAAATATATAGAACGCGCAACATTTTGTGAGTTTCTTACTCTTCTTTTTAAATCATCTGTATTTTTATTCATAAGTTCTTAGTCTTCGCTTCGTTATTAAGATCTCCATTTGTCCGATAATCATTCTTTTCTTACTTGTTCAGCTTTTATCTTTCCAATCGGCGATCAACCTTCTTCTTTTATGCTTTTTCTGTACGATCAACTCTACCGTGCAACATCTCCACGTCTTACAGTTCGTTAACGTGGACAAATTGATCACAGCTTAATTGGCCCGGCATTCCGAAGTTCGTTGTACTTTCCTACCAAGCTGCTGCGCGAAAGTGCCACAGAATATTAGCTTCCAAGAATGTTTTGTTATAATACGCCACCGTGCTGGAAATTTATTGGTCAGAAATAATTGTTGGAAATATTTTTAGAACAACATTAAAAGTTGTCAAGTTATAAACATTAAACTTATTTTATATTTAAAATCACTCCAAGTATAATTACACCTTGACATTCCCCTTGTCAGTTACAAGCTACTCTCAAAGAAACATCTCAAAATATCAGTTTCTATTGAAACTTTACTAGTTTCTACCTGACTAAACAAGCTCACCTAAATTGTCCATAATTCTATAACAGAACCCTCGAAGAACGTCACAAATAGTATTGCATAACTTCCCGACATTAACGCAATCTTGATCATCCGCCTTACAGCCGACGCCTCCAAAGAAGCCGCCTAGACGCAACCTGTCCGTGTCTCCTACGCACCTGCAGACGCAGATGTCTTTGTCCGCGGATTGCACGCTCGGGCCGAGCAACTACGAATACCTGTTCATGGCGCGGAGTGGTGCTCGCAGCCACATTGACTTGGAGCAGTTGCAGAAACGTAGGGAGCAATTGCGCCACGTGACGAGGAGCGTGGACCAATACGTCGAGATGAAGTCTCGGATGCCGGACGGCGAGGAGAGGCGCGACAACAACGTGGAGCCGGTCGCGATCACTTCGATTTACGAGAACCGGCCGATCAAAACGCTGAATCCGCGTCGGAAGTTGCGCAGGCACGCGTTCGACAACTGCGAGACGGAGGGCAGCCCATGCGGTGACAAGTCCCCGTGCAACGAGATGGACTCGGTCATCCAGGAGCAGACATTCGTCTCGAACGCTTTCCTCACGCTGAAGTCCTCGCAGGAGAGTCTGCTTGACGAGAAACGGGACGCGACCGACGACTCGGCGAACGAAGGCCGCGAGGCGACGGACAAGCGCCTGAAACGAGTACAAATGATGCTGCCGACCAGTCCCACGCACTACGCACAGCCTCCGACCCCGGATCACCCGCCTCCGTCGGCTATGCAGGCCGAGAAGTCTATTCACGAGCGGATTCGGCCGTTGAGTCAGGTGAGTTCTGATGATCCTAGTACCTACTGAGTTTTGGGATATTCCATATTTGACTTTTCTATTCAGTTGTCTTTGCTAGTCCGCTTCTTACATTAGCTCCATCGGTCTGAGGTTTAACAGGGGGAGCTAACGTGAGAGGTGTATAGTACTTGTATCGTATTACTATAATGATTCTGACTGCCGTTTGAATCATTGATAGTTTGCATGTACTTGATGATGTATCATACGGTCGTAGACCTGATAATAAAGTGCCAAACTGAAGAAGTATAACAGTACCAGAAGTGACCGCGTCGAAAAACAACGGAAGAACTTAGTAAGATCACCAGCAGCCAACAATAAGGCTAAACCGAATAACAGAGTCATCCTAAACCGGGCGTATCGCGTTCACTGAATAGCTCGAAACTTCTATCTACCTTGACCGATCGGTCTTTGATTCGTGATTCACCGTGCGCCGGTATCGGGTCGCATTTCTCCCGCGTCGCTGGCGCGGGCGTCGCCGGGACATTAACTTTCCAATTGCATCCGGACGCTCGCACACTACGCGATCAGAGATCCCGCGGCTGGTTTTAAGCGGTTGACGCACAGAGGCGTCTCCGTAATTCGTCGCACGGTATCCGGCGAGGCGTGCGAAGCGAGCGTTCAATTTTGCATCCTCGGATGCTCCTTAGCGGATTCCAGGGAACGCGCGCGCGTTTATGCGCCGGCATCGCATGTCGGAACGTCAAACGGTAGCAGCTGACTGGTCGGGTCGCGAAAGTACTGGTCCGGAATGTTCATTTCGGGAGCGCTAACGCGTTCGGAAACGTTTATCACTCGTCGGGATCGAGCGTAGAGGCTGCACCTTTGGCTACAGCTCGCGGGCTGACCGAAGAATCGAGTGGCTGACGGTTGCCGCGAGGCTCCGTCGCGGATGCGGCTTGACCCTAAAGCTTGGACAGTAGATAAGCAGTCTGCAGGACGCCTTAGCAGGTTACGTTTAATATACAAGCGGTGTTTGATCTGTGATGCGATTTGCAAGGAGCCAGCTATCTCCCGCTGTCTCCCTTCCTCTCTCTTTCTCTTTCTCTCCTCTCTCTCTCTCTCTCCCTCGCTGTGTTCACGGTGCAGTCTGTATATCGCTCGTTTCCCGCCGT